GTATATATATATATATGTATGTGTATATATATATATATATATATATATATATATATATATATATATATATATATATATATATATATATATATATATATATACTCGCTTAAGGCTTAGGTTATCGGTTAACAGTCATGCATAGCTATATCATTCTGTAAGAGCTTTCACGGTATATTGAAGAAGGGTTTCATCGATCAAATATTTCAATATCATTCTCTGAATCCTTGTTTCTCTTATATCTGTGATACATTCATATTGCTGCTAAATAGTTTCATCTCAAGATTGGGACCAACAAGAAATGAAAGAAGACTAAAACTAGGGGTGGATTCAGTTCGGGCCACCCGGCCCGTGACCCAGCCCAGCCCACTACTGTGCGGGCCCGGGACCGGCCCGGTCTGGCGGTCCGGGACCGGGTGTAGACCCGAACCGGTGGGGATGGGCGGGGCGGGCTCGGTTTCGGAAATAGTTGACCCGGCCCGGCCGGATCGGGCCCGGGTCCGGGTCCAACGGTCATTTTTAATTTTTTTTGTTTTGCCCAAAATAGCCGTTGGGGGGTGGGCTGGGGACAACCCAAACGGCTATATAGCCGTTGGGTGGGGTGCAGGGGGGTTTGGGGGGTGGGGTGAGGGTGGGGTAAAAAACCCTATAAATACTCCTAATCTTAAACATTTTTTCATATATCTTCTCCAATTCTTCCTAAATCCCATTCTTAACTCTCTACTCTCTAATTCTCTTATTCTCCAATATATTATATTTATTACTTATATATCTACTTTATATTAATTACCTACTTATAATTTATAAATACATACATTATAATATTATATTACTTATATTTTTTATCTAATTATATATTACTTGTTTAATTTATCATTCTATTACTCCCATCCGAAAGACCGAAAGTCCGAAAGAGGTACGGAATCATTCTATTATTTACACTTATTTAATTTTGTATTAACGTTACTTGAAAAAAAACTAGAAATAATTTGATTAAAGTAAACTTTAAAATACTAATTTGCTATAACTCGAATTAATAGTTAGATTAATAGTTAATTACTTTATTACAATTTTTTATTAATTGTTACATTTGACTCTAGTTTAAAAAACTAGTTAATTCTCATTATAGTTAAAGTTAAAGTATATTAATTTCATTGTTAGTAAAAAAAATAGGTTGTACACAAAACTAGTTAATTCACCAAGTAATTTGATTAAAGTAAACTTTAAAATACTAATTTGCTATAACTCGAATTAATAGTTAGATTAATAGTTAATTACTTTATCACAATTTTTTATTAATTGCTACATTTGACTCTAGTTTAAAAAACTAGTTAATTCTCATTGTAGTTAAAGTTATAGTATATTAATTTCATTGTTAGTAAAAAAATAGGTTGTACACAAAACTAGTTAATTCACTAGTTAATTTGATTAAAGTAAACTTTAAAATACTAATTTGCTATAACTCGAATTAATAGTTAGATTAATAGTTAATTACTTTATTACAATTTTTTATTAATTGCTACATTTGACTCTAGTTTAAAAAACTAGTTAATTCTTATTATAGTTAAAGTTAAAGTATATTAATTTCATTGTTAGTAAAAAAAATAGGTTGTACACAAAACTAGTTAATTCACTAGTTAATTTGATTAAAGTAAACTTTAAAATACTAATTTTCTATAACTCGAATTAATAGTTAGATTAATAGTTAATTACTTTATTACAATTTTTTATTAATTGCTACATTTGACTCTAGTTTAAAAAACTAGTTAATTCTCATTATAGTTAAAGTTAAAGTATATTAATTTCATTGTTAGTAAAAAAAAAGGTTGTACACAAAACTAGTTAATTCACTAGTCAATTTGATTAAAGTAGACTTTAAAATACTAATTTGCTATAACTCCGATTTTTTATTAATATATTTTTATTAATATATTTGTTGCAATTTAATATTTGTTACATTTTTTAGATGGATCGTCCTAGATATTCGGTTGATATGGGTAACCTCGAGCGCAACCGAACGAAAGAGCTTGCGAGGAAGAGATCCCGCAAAGGTAAATCACATATCGGCTCTTCATCTCAAAGTCGAGATGATTTTGATACGGGTTACGCAAGGAGGGATGGAGATGCGATGACCGACGAACAACTAGAACAAGAATTGCATCGACATAATTCCCGCTTTTTTCAAGACCAACCGAGGACCATTGACGAAGAAGAGCTCGAGGACGACGATGTGGAGGAAGTAATTCCGATTGATATGGGTAACCTCGAGCGCAACCGAACGAAAGAGCTTGCGAGGAAGAGATCCCGCAAAGGTAAATCACATATCGGCTTTTCATCTCAAAGTCGAGATGATTTTGATACGGGTTACGCAAGGAGGGATGGGGATGCGATGACCGACGAACAACTAGAACAAGAATTGCACTGACATAATTCCCGCTTTTTTCAAGACCAACCGAGGACCATTGACGAAGAAGAGCTCGAGGACGACGATGTGGACAAAATTTGACTAGTATGGCTAACTTACTTGTTGAAGAAAATTTGCCTTATTTGTTTTCTGAAAGTCTTGCTTTTCGTGATTATGCACAAACTTGTTTAAATCCGCAATATAGAAGTTATAGTCGCAAAACGGTTAAGAAAGAAATTTCAAGGCTTTATGGTGCGGAAAAGGTAAGGTTACAAAATTATTTTGCAAACTTTGATGGGAGTGTTAATGTATGTTCTGACATATGGGAGGATACTTATCATAATTTACATTATTTGGGTCTGACTGTACATTATATTGATAATGATTGGCATATGCATAAATGTGTTCTTGCTTTCCGTGAATTTAATGATCGTCACACCGCTGAACATATTTATATTTTGATTGAGCGTATTTTAATTGAGTATAATTTAATTGATAAGGTGTTTGCTATTGGTTTTGATAATGCTACTAATAATACTGCTGCTATTCCTAGATTGCGTGAAAAGTGTGGTTCTACTTCTTTGATGGGTAGATTTTTTCATCAACGATGTGCATGTCATGTTCTAAATTTATGTATGCAAGATGGTCTAAAAGCGTTGGGAGCATCGTTGGAGGTAGTCAGCGGGGGGATTAGACATATTTGGGGTAATGGAAAACTTAGGAAAAAATGGCATGATTATTTGATAGAAAGAGGTGAGAAATATGTGGCTTATCCTAAATATTTATCTATTCGTTGGAATAGTACCTATAAGTTAATTGGAGTTCTTCTTAGATATAAACAACATTTTCCTTCTTTTATGAAATAATATGATAACTATATTATAAACTCGGCTGAGATCGACACCTGTGAAATTATTTGTAATGCTTTGATATATTTTAATAATGCAACTGAAACTTTTAGTCATGTTTATAAACCTACCTCAAACCAATTTATTCGTGAAGTTGTTAATCTCGCCGGTGTTTTTTCAGATTTTGAGAATGCTGATTATGTGAGTTATTTTGCTAGTTTTATGAAGGAAAAGTTTTTGAAATATTATTCACATATTCCGCATATTTATGGTATTGCATTTGTTCTCGATCCTCGTTTTAGACTTGGTTCTTTAGAAGAATGTTTGAATTATTATTATGCTGCTTTTTTTGGTCCATTGCCAATGTATGAGGACAACCCAATTGATCCGAAAAAAGAATACAGCGAAGTTAGTGATATATTTTATGCATTATTTAATGAGTTTCATGCACAATATGACAATGCGCCCCCTCCCCCGACACAAACATCATCTAAAGGAAAATCAATTTTCAAATCTACATTTGCCAATCTTATTAAAAAAACGAAATCAACTCCCGCTACGCAACAAAGCACAATTAATGAGATTTCTTTGTATTTAACATATGATGTTGATTTTGAAGAAGATGATTTTGACGTACTAAACTGGTGCAAGGGAAAAGAAAGAATGTTCCCGGTTTTAGCAACGATGGCTAAGCAAGTGCTATCAATGCCGGTTTCAACGGTTGCCGTGGAACAAGAATTTAGTTCGGCCGGCAATGTCCTAACGCAATGTAGAACGAGGTTGAGTGCAAAATCTCTTGAGATGCTTATATGCTACCACGATTGGTTGAAAGCGGTCCGTAGAGCTCAAGAAATTGACATCACCCCATCCCAACACTTTATGGATGAATCTACAATCGAGGGTGGCTCTACCTATGCCGGAGATTCCGATTGAATGATTGATTAGTATTTCATGTTTTAATTTTAGCTTCAATTCTCAATTGTAACTTGTAAACTTGTAGTTCATATTTCAAATAAATGCACTTGAAGTTTGTTTTTAATACTTGTATAAAACCGTAAAGTATAAAATATAAATTATAAAAAGATTACTTTAACCGGCCCGGCCCGGCCCGGCCCGACAGGTGGCCCGACCCGTGACCCGGGCGGGTGGCCTGGCCCGAACTGGACCCGTCCAACCCTCGGGCCGGTCCCGGGTCCATGTGATAAAAACCGGCGGCCCGACCGGGCCCGACCCGGCCTGAGTCCACCTCTAACTAAAACCATGTATTTTAACCGAAAATATTTACCAAAAAGTGCAATTTTAAGTTAGGACACTTCAAACGAAAATTGAAACTTTCATTTGGGTATAGCCTCAGAGGTAACACTATTTTCTAAAAAAAATTATCACTCATTTTGTATTTACTTCTCTCTTCTATTCAGTTCCAATGTTTCGAGTTTCACATTTGAAATTATAGAATTGGGCTATTAATATCTTTATTCAGATATCTATAGAAATGATGAAAAATCAAAATTTTGAAATTGAAATTGAGACAAACTTAACAATATTTTCTAAATATGAATTTTGATTACATCAATAAATTAAATGTAAACAATGTGGAATATTTGATAGCACAAAAGTCTTGTAATATTTAAGAACAGAAGTAATATTACTTTCGGATCTAAAAAGTGTTGTTTAATTATAAATGTCTTAGGCAGAAAAACATACCATTTACCATACTACAAACAAAGACATCACAATGAAGCAAAGCAATTGCCGGATATAAACTTCACTGTCATTGAAACTTTGAATAGACGATAATTGTATGTTTCCAACATAAATCTTCCTTCATCATTGGAAGAAATTTCCATTTTTGGTTAGTAGAACACCGGCCTATATTTAGGAATAAAACTAAAAGATCATACAGATTTCCAAATTTTAAACACATCCACGATACACTCCATCCATGAGTCCATGACAACTTTTGATCAACTTTTTGAGTCTTTATTCTTTATACAGATATCAAGAACTTCAAATCTTTACATGGCCAGATATGTAACACTTAATAAAAACACTCCACCCAAAATCTTCGCAGAGAAAAAGAAAAGCATAAACTATTTACACAATTAAGATGAGAATCAGCTGTGAATACCACTCTCATTGTTATTATTATCGTCATCATCGTAGTTGTCAGTAATGCCATTGAAGAAAGGATCCTTGAGAAGATCAGAAGCACAAGGTCTCACACTTGATTTAGAAAGACACTTCTCAATGAAAGCCTTAACTTCGGGACTTTTTATTTTGTCCATAGCTCGAGGCCTTATTCCGGAAGTGACTTTCTTGTATATCTTCACCACATTATCACATTCACTATAGGGTAACTCTAGAGTTACCATTTCAAGAACGCACATCCCGAACGAATATATATCGACTAGCTCCGTGTAATTCTCGTCATACAATTCCGGTGCCATAAACTCTGGGGTCCCGAGAACGGAATGTGCCGAGTGACTCTTTCCAACAATAGTTGCAAAACCAAGATCACCAATTTTAACCTATTTAAATTAAATAAGGCAATAATGTTAATACACATTGATTTGTAGCATTAAACTAATTTAGACAATTAAATATATTGACCCTAACACATTCCTTGATTTGAAAGATATTCTTATAAGACAATTATTAGCATTAATTAGTATGCTTTTATAGCACATAAATGATTTTACTTTACCTAATTGCCCACTTACCAATGTTAATGGTATCTGTAGCACCGAAGCTCTATTATATGCATGGATGTAATAGTATTCATAAAATATGTGAATATATTAGAGGTTGTTTGGTCGAGGGATTTTGAAGAGGTTAATGTTTTGGCATAGTTTGAAATATAACAATACATCCAAATCTTGTATTTCTGTTCAATAATTCATCTCCACTTTCTTTGCAACCATTTAATTGTAAGAAAAAAATACAAACTCTTAACTGCCAACCAAACAAGGCCTTATGATCATATACGCACAATCACAAAAACATAAACAAATTGGGACCCTCCATCAAAGCATAGTCCTTTATCATTTATTCAATAACCTAAATAGGATATAACTATTGCAAATTAAATGGAAGATTGATGATGAAAAGATGAATTTACCTGACCAACATTGCCATTGATGAAAATGTTACTACAATTAAGATCTCTATGAATGATGCACGGCTCATGAGTGTGCAAATACTCCAACCCCTTAAGAATCTGTTTAGACCACTTCTTAAGAGCTTTGATAGAAACATGTTTGTGTTTCCTTCTGTAATCCCTCAAATTTCCAGAAGTGCAGACTTCAGTGATGAAATTCAAAGTGCTCCGTTCCTGGTCAGTCCAAACAGAATACAATGCAATTATGCTTTTGTGCTTCAGAGTCTTCAAAAGACGAACCTCAGAATACAAGCGGTCAAGAGCTTGTTGATCATCTGCGAAATTTCGAAGCTTTACTTGGTTCCAAGCAACTTCAATCCCCTCTTCATGATCGAATGCTCTATAAACTTTCTTGACAGCTCCACACCCTAATAGTTCACTATACCGCCCGTAACGGCCTGTCGGATCAACCTCGGCAAACTGCTCCATGTCCCGATCTAATGGATCTGTAGTTACACTGTTCACCTACAATCAATCGAGTCTCTATCCTTCAAAACCAGAATCAATCGAATCACAATTTCCGGACTAACCGACCCGAAATTTCTAGAATATGCATGACTATCTCAAGGAAATTGAAGACTTCACAGAATAGAGAAATACATAAATAAAAATGAGCCCATTCACTATGCAATCACAAGAATCTTGCCAAGTATAACTTTGCTAGTAAAAAACAATAGAATAATTGATCGGATCAGACGATAAATGGGGATGAAGGACGCGAGATAATAAGAAAATCAACCACCAAAGTTTTGTCCGGCAGCATTCTATCTTAATTAGGATTAAGTATTAAAGATTTCTCGGAATTACCATGTAGTAAGGGGAGGCGCGAGCGCCTCTCAGCTGGAGAGCTGCTGCTGCTGTGTACTGTATAATACTCCTCCGGGATGTATTTCTTTTTTTTCTGAAGGTATGGCGATAGAATCTTGGGGTATTTAAATAAAAATTGTTTCACGAGTATAGGTTAAATAAGCATATATATACTCCGTATTTTTCAACTCTAGTCCTAAAATGTGAGTATTAATTAATTAGTTCACTATTTATTTACCGGGAAGGGGACCTGAATTTGAAGTGGCTGATTTTTATGGGGGTGTTTTGAACGGCTTCTGCTTGTCTAGTTGTTTATTTTTATTATTAAATAGTTAATCGTGTGAAATTAAAAGTTATATATTGAGAATGTGATAAAAAAGTTGATTGAACATGCTGATACAGCATTACGAGAAAGGTTCTTAATCAGACTATTAGTTTTATCAGGGTGAAACAGGTATCTTGTATGCTTGTTTTGATAATATCAAAATTGGCTGAATCGATTGATTCTATTGAAATTTATGAAATTGTCTGGTTTTGCTCATTTATAAAAAAAAAGATATTTACAATATATAATACTAATAAAAGAAAGAAAAAAATCTATGTAAAATAGCTAAAACGGTACTCTACAGTAACTTCAACCAATACAGTCAATAAAATAAATTCAACTTTACATCGTTTTTTTCAAAAGTTACGTATTTGATGAAAAAATTGACTAATAAGTTTAATAAACCGAAAAACATGGTATTAAATGGGCTTTAATATTAGAGAAAGCCTCATACATAAAACATTGAAATTAGTACATCCACAAAAGTAACAAGTTTTATTTAGACATTTCTCCAAACAAGTTTATCTTTATACTCCCTCCGGTTCTAAATAAACTTTATACTTTGACTTCACACAAATTAAGGAAATAAATTTGGCTTTGCTGTAGAGCACACTGTTGTGACATTGTTTGGCACTGTTTGATACTGTTTGGCACTGTTTTGCATTGTTTTGCACTGTTTTGATGTAGAAAATTTGTCAAATAAAGAAGAAAAAAGAAGTGTGAAGTTTATTTTAGACCTACCCAAAATGAAAAGTGTGAAGTTTATTTAGGATCGGGGGAAGTATAATTTATTAGATATACACAAAAGTAAAGTTCATTGTGCAAGAATTTGAAGTGTAAACACAAGTATAAACTTTGACTGGGCCAAGTTCAATATACTCCAGCCCACTAAATATTAGGAACCAGAGAGAAACAAAGCAATCTGAGAAGGGTGTCACTGTTGACGGCGAGGATGAATACGGACATTACTGCTTCTGTGAAGCCTGAATATCCGGTGATAGATCGGAATCCACCCTTCACAAACGTGGTTTCCAATTTTAACACGCTCGATTACCTCAGGCTCACCACCATCACCGGTATCTCTGTCACCGTCGGCTATCTCTCAGGTACATCCCCATGATTTGTATTCCATTTTTCTAAGGTTCATGACAGTACTGGGACTATAAATTTCAACTTCCCCTTGATATTGGGATTGTTATTCCTTAGGCATAAAGCCGGGGATAAGGGGCCCATCAATGGTGACGGGAGGACTGATTGGGCTGATGGGAGGGTTCATGTACGCTTACCAGAACTCTGCAGGAAGACTCATGGGCTTTTTCCCCAATGAAGGAGAGGTAGCTAAGTACAAGAAATCGCTCTCTCTCTAAGCTTCTTTCCCTTCCCTCTCTCTCTCTCTCTCGCGCGCTTCCTATCTATTCCAATTGGATAGAGACTTCTGTACGCATGTGATACTATGAATAATTGTGCCGCTGTTTGTGTTTCTGTTTTGAATTGGATGAAACTTTCACTCAATGTGGATTGATGAGCTACTTGAAATGGAAGAAGCTTGTGTTTTTATGCTAACCCTTTAACTCTGGATCCCATGTTTCCATAGAGACACTCTAGGGTTTTTCTGCTTAGCCTGAATGGTTGATTTCTGCATTTTGATTTGTGCTACTATTAAAATGCACTTTGAAGATTCCAGAAACAAATTTGAAAAGGCCTTCCAATGGTACTTCAACAAAGTGAGCACATCCTCCCTTTTGTATATATCTTTATATGTTGATTATGATGAATGCTTGGTTAACCTTTACTTGTATCGATGACAACGATGCTGCAGCTGCTATAGGAGCCTGAGTGGTGTGTTTGCATGTACTTTTAGGGCCAATATGGTTGGGGGATTTCGGAAGAGAGGGGAGGATTGATTTTTTACTTTATTAATTTATCTGAATTTGTTAGTTTTAGACTACAAATAACTATATAATTAGGTAAACCATGTATTTTTATATATTATTTTGTCTTCGCATTATTTCAATTTTTCTAAATGTAAAAAATATTTTAAATTTAAATATAACCCCTCCCTTTCCCTCTCCTTTGAAATCCCCCAACCAAGCTGGCTCTTAGTCTTGTTTTCTTTTATTTTCAACCTCCAAGCAATTGTGATCTTGTAGTTTCTAGTTCTATTTCTACTGGTCCCCTAGTAATGATTCTCATTTCCCTAAAACTAGTGAAAAGTGAAAACTTGCATCAACATTTTTTGACACATGTGGGCAATGGTAATCACTTTCACTTTTCCTGCAAGGCTCGACTGTGTATGTTAGCACTTATTTTAGAGTTTATTGCTAATGCTATGGGTCTTGATATAAATATAAGTTTAGAATGAAAGTTTATTTAGTGTATCTAGTATATCTTTTGCTTTGAAGTGGTTAATTTTACCTATAGTGCTTGTAATACCTTATAGTTTTAAGCTTGTAATTATTCGATTTTCAACTCAACATGCAAAAATAGTCTTGAACAAGAATCCAGTTTAGGAAAGATAATGTGCAGATTGGAAGCTAGCGACAGTTTACTTCAGTGATCTCTATTTAAAGCAGTAGTAGTGAGAGCCGACATATTTGTAGGCTTGCATCTAGCATCCCAAAAGAACGAGCCCATCCCAACACACTCATAGACACCTCAGTAATGAGCTTTAGCATGTGCATATTCAACATTTCGTAGTACATATGTCCAACAGCTCCACAATTGAAGGACTTAAAGTTGCACCACAATGACTGGAAAATGTCTTGCATCAAAGTGAACTCCTAGCCCCCAGGCATATAAGTTGGAGGGAGTTCTAAAGGAACATATTGTGCAGTACATAGTGATGAACATATTCACTTCTGCTGAAGTTGTTCACTGTGCGTAAGCGGTCAGCAAGTGATGAGAGCAGACCTCCAATTTTTGTTAGGTGCTAGTCCGGCGAGGTGGCGACCAACCAAGTCCACGCTCCCGGGCAGCGTATAGAAATTAAATATGGAGAACAGGATTGTCAATCTGTTATTCTGTTGTGTGAGGAAGTAACCATAGATATGCAATTGTAATAGCATATCAACTATTTTATCATTCCAAGCTTAGCAACACCACTGCCATCATATTGAATCTAACAAACATGAAAACAACGAGGCCGGAGTTGAGCAGGTCAGACTATAGGATTCAAATTCGGTCAAAGGGTTATTCAGAATCACAATGTAATGGTTTAACTCTTAAACGAAAGATAATAATCTAAAATGTCATGTAGCGGCAGCCTAACCGCCTTGGCTTGTAGCTACCTAGGTGGTTCATTCACTGCATGGATGGCATTTTGAGCGCCCAGAGGGGTTGCATTCAGCAGCCTGGTACCTAGGCATGTGTTGTAGTCTTGTAGATGATCCTTAAGAGGCAAGAGGCGTGTATTCATGACTTCAGGTTTCTTACACCATTCATTGTTTTTTGGAGGCATGAAATTAGGGGTGGTAGCGGGTGAAGGCTCATTTGTCGTTCACCCGTTATTTTTTCATAGTCCATCCACCCGTCCATCATGCATTAAAATCTACATCCAGATCTAACTCATCCATCATGAACGGGTTATCGGGTGAGTAACGGGTGAATATAAATGGTCAAACTTGAAAGACAAAATAAATAAATTATAAAGAGAAATTGTGACAAAAATTAAGAATTCATTGAAAAATTACTACAAAAACTTGAGCAATTAAGTATATTACAATCATTAATTCACTGTCGATGATAAAGAAAGAACTAATTGTCAAACAAAATAGACATAAACATTTTGCAGTTCAATTGTTACTTCTTGAAACTCTCCAATTGTCTTTATTTCACCAATTCATAGATATGTGTCTTCTCCATCCTGTCATTATTGACAAAAAACATAAAATTCATCTTGTCATTATTTCATAATCCTCTCTCCTGGCTTGTCAAACAATGAAAGAGGGGCAGAAAGCCAAAGCAGGAGCCGGCCAGAGTGGAACTAGGGATGGACTGGTCCGGGCTGAACCGGCCCGCTACTGTGCGAGTAACAGTAGATCCGCACACACACACACATGCACGCACGCGCACGCACGCGCACACATGCACGCGCACGCACCCACACACACACACGCGCACACACGCGCGCGCACACACCCACACACACACACGCACACGCCCACACATACACATGCGCCCACACGTGCACACGCGCACACACGCGCACACACGCGCGCGCACACACGCACACATACACACACGCGCGCGCACACACACACACACACGCACACGCACACGCACATGCACACACACATTTGCGACTCCATCTCCGGCTGCGTCTCCATCTCCTTCTCCATCTTCCTTTCCATCTAATTTTTTTCTCCATCTCTATCTTAAATTTAATAGAATGTGGTTGATTTTCTTCTATTCAAAGCCATGGATTCTGGCATGCATAGGATGAACATTAGTTCTCAGAGGCCATGGATTCCGACATCACCTTGGAATTCATGTGCACGCCGAGTTTTTTATATTTTTTTGTTTTGATTTTCGTTTCCATAGCAATTCAACAATTTGAAAAGCCATGGACTCCGACGAAGTTCTTGAACTTCCTATGTATTCTGGTGTGGAAAATCCATCCAGATATCTTTAGAAAAGATATTTTTCAAATTTAACAATTTTGTGTTTGCAGACTTTTTGTGATTTCAATATGGATATGTTTTTACCATTTAGAGCATGGTACTCATATATTATGCATTTTGTGATATCTTGAATTATGTATGCATGTCATTTGAATACGGGATGCAAATATCATACTGATAAGATGCATGATATGAACTTTTAAAATGCATGTGTCACCTAACTAAAATGCACTGCATGTACTTCTAAAATGCACACATCATCTTATTAAGGTGCACTTATATTTTCACTAAAGTGAAATGTACAAACTTCTAAGATTCACATGTCATAATGATAAAATACAACATATGAACTTGTAAAATGCAGATGCCATAATGATAAGATGCAGTATGAACTATTAAAGTGCACATATCATCTTACTAAATTTCAATACACGAACTTCTAAAATGCACATGGCATAATGATAAAATGCAAATTCGTATAATGTGACATGTTTCTCTTATATTATGTACTTGTATCAATTGAGTTTACAATGCAAATGTCATAACGATAAGATGCAGCAAATTGTCTTCTACGATGCACATTGAAACGTACTACTAAAATGCAATACATGAACTAGTAAAATGCACGTGTCATAATGATAAAATGTGTGCAGCATATAAAGTATTAAAATGCAGATGCCATAACTGAAAGAGTCAGTATAAACTTCCAAAGTACATGTATCATCATACTAAAATGTAATATATGAACTCTTAAAATGCACATGTTATAGTGATAAGATGCAACATATGAAACACTACAATGCAACGTCGATATATTTTATCACTATGTAGTTCTAATATAAGTTTGGAGACATTATAAATATGAAATGCACATCCCGTCACCTTAATATGCACATCCTGTAACCTTAATATGCACATCTCTTAACCTTGATATGCACATCTCGTAATCTTATATGCAAAAACTTCTACCAGTGTTTACTTCTTCATTTCGAGAGCTCTCCAACTTACCATCTATAAGTTTCGAAAATTTCAAGGTTCATAATGGAGCGTCTGAATCCGTAATCAAGAGATTAATTTTATAAATTCTATCATGTGCTCTTGTAGTGAAGCCATTATTTGAATTGATAATCCAACCTTCTTTGTTTGATAATCCAACTTTCTCCTCCAATTCTTACTAATCACACAAACCTTTTTTAATTTGCTTAAACATGGAGGTGTAAATATTAGTAGTGGGTTACTTTAATTGATGGGATGTTAGTGGTGGGTTACATTAATTAGTGGTAGAATATTAGTGTAGATTTGTTTATGTATTCTTTCCATATCAATGTGGCAGTTCCGTTTTTAAAGTGTTGAATGGCATTGGTAACCTTCCCCCACTAACCGCTGCAATTTAATAGCCCGTACGATTTACATTCTCTGCATCTCAACACATGCTCCATTATTTTGGATGGCTTTTATTCGCTCTTGATTTTGTAGATTTGGACGGGTGTGATGAGTTTGTAGTTTGCACCGAAAGAGGAGTTTGTATGTGATCTCCCCCATATATATATATATATATATATATATATATATATATATATATATATATGGTGCGGTTCCAATGAGAACGGTGGTTAACGTGAGAACGTGAGAACACTCACAATTAATATAATGCGATACACAATAGAGCCCGTCTAATGCACATTTTGACTTTGCTCCAAATAAGCCAATATTAATAATGACGGTGGCATTTTGGTAAATACTATGCCGAACACGAAAATGTGCATTGGACGAGCCTTGTTGTGCATCATATTGTGGTAAATGTGGTGTTCTCACGTTCTCACGTTAAGCGTTGTTCTCATTTGATCCTAAGTCTATATATATATATTTAGGTTTTAGTTCAAATAAGAACACCATCTAATGAGATAAATAAGAAACAATCATGGCCATTAGATCAACTCATTTTTTTGAATTCT